ATGGTGATGCTTGGAATTTTGAGAGGCAGATTAAAAAGTTTTCATATGCTGATTACATAGGTTTTTAATCAGTAGTCATATGTGGAAGTATGTAAGCAGAAAAAAAGCACAAATCTTTGGTTTGCTTTTTGTTCTTGCTTTCATGCTTTTCAGTGCCTGGTAAGAAGTATCTGTGCTTAACTGGAAAGATGCTGCAGCTGCTGAATAGAGCTGTTGGCTTAAGTGGGATTGCTCATGTGAGCAAGGGCAAGTTCAGGCCTATTTTGTTACTTCTGCCTGTGCTTCCTAGGAATATCAAATGTCTTTTGGCAATGGTAATATCAAATGATGAAACTAACACTGGAGAGTTTAGTATTTACAAAAACTCAGTAAAATAAAGAGCTCTAGAGATTTGATTCCTAACTCCTGAAAGCAAGTATAAAAACCTCCCACATCCATGAATGTATGTTGAGCAGAAATGAAACATTTAGGTTTTGCTTCTCTATTTGTGCCTTTAGGGGGCTGTAGCAGAAATAGAATACATAATATATTGACAGGAGATATATATTCCACTTGTGAGTAAGACTCTGAATCCTCTTGGCTTTGCTGTTTCTGAATCATGTCTTCCCTCAGTGGAGAGATAAATATGGCACTCACTTCAACCCATTTAGCCCATTATTCATTTATATAAAGCAGGACCAATTAAGACATTCTTTTGTGTATTTGCACATTCTACATATGGAACAAAAGGGAGTTAAAAATATCTGTTGCAGCAATGTGACAGGATGCTCTCTGAATACTGAACATGTTACTCCTGCAGCTCCTCTTAGCAGCAAACTGACATTCGGGAACTGCTAAAATAGACACTTGTTTGGTTTTGTGTTTGCTCAGTTTCTGATGTATAAGATTCATAGTCACCCACTCACTTATCTAAAAAAGTGTATTTGTTTCAACTTTCACAGCTGTCTACTCCTGAGTAGACAGCATATAGGTACAGCTCTTCAGCCATGGACAGAGGCAGAAGTGACCTTTCTAAGGCAGGTATCTGTATTCCAGGAAGGATCCCTGTTAGGTAGCACTAGTGTATCAGACTGAATTATTTTATTGGTATTGCTGCTTTCTTTCAGAACTTGTGTTTCAACTATTGTGCAATCTCTGAGAGCTTAAGAAGAGAATGAAGTTAAAAATAAAATAATAAAAAGCCTAAGAAATTCCTGCTATTGCAGGCTTAAGGAAATAAGCCAAAATATACATTTTCAATTCCAACAACATTTCAGAATGGTATAAGTCTCTGTTGGCTTAAGTGTTTCTTGGCATAAAATGCTGGTTATATATGTCTCGAGGAGACAATCAGCATGTTCATACAAAAGTCTCAATCCCTAAACTCAGTAACATGTGGTTGCCTCTAAAGATTTGCTGTCAAAATAGATATTAAAAGTTCTTCTGGATTATGATATGTGGGGCTTTACACTGAAAATCTTTGTTTTGCATTAAAAGGTAGTTTGTGGCATTGTGAAGTGATGAAATTGTATACAGCATAATACAGTTTGAATGGAGAGGAAATGCAGTAAGATATAAATTTGTTTGATGGTATTTTCCCTAGCAACTCAGTATTATTTAAGTATTGCATTACTGCCTGAAGCAAGTCAGTCCAGTCTTTACTGAGGAAGATGGGGTGGAATGCAAAGCTTTTGCCCCAAGACCTCATGTATAGACACTGTGGTCCAGTCACAGATGGGCGACTGCTGCTTTTGCAGAAGGGGCTGTCTGGATGAAGGCAGTGGAATGGCCCAGTATATTTTAGTGGATCAGAACGTATCTGAGTAACTCCTGTCTTGTGGACCAGTATAGCAGTGATGGATTCAGGTGCATCACTTTGTATCTTTTGTCTGCTAGGCTATTTGTTTTTCACCTAAGATCCTTTCCAAATCTCTCTCAGTATTGCGGCTTAGAACTTCATCATCTGTCTGCGTGCAATGTCAGTATGAACATGTGCTGGGAACTTCTGGCCATGCAGTCTTGTGTTCCTGCGATAAGTGTCATGGGGTTGGAAGAGGCCATTTTTAAACAGTTCCACCTTTCTCAGCAGCTCAGGCCCCAGAAGTGCACCCAGAGGGCCTCGAGTGAGGAACCCACCTGCTGGGCTGTGGAGAGCAAAGGCAAGGAAGAGCTGTGCTGGTTGACTGGAGGAGGCTTTGTTTCATCCTTTCCACCAGTGCCTGTGCCAAACCCCCTGTGCTGGAGTGTGTGTTTAAGAAAGACTTGCCATGCCTGTTTAAAAGCTGCAAATGACAGTGAATCCCCTGCTTTTGTAGTTAAGTTGTTAAAATAGTTATTATTTTGTTATCGTTGAAAATTGATGCTGCATAAACTGGTTTGAATTTGACTGGCTTCAGCTTCCAAGCACTGGATCTTGTTACGCCTTTTTCTGCTAGATTAAATACCCATCTGCTCTCAGCAATCGCTTTCCTGTGTGAGTATTCATAGTCTGTGATCAGGTTGCCTCTTAACCTTCTCCTTTATGAACTAAATAGACTGAGCTATAGTCTCTCCTTGTAAGGCAAGTTTTTCCAGGCACTCTAATCGCTCTTGTAGCTCGTCTGAATCCTTTCCAAGTGTTAGAGGAGGTAGGGAATAAACCAGCTAAGCAGGGGAGGCCCACTTTTGTTTGATTGAGCAGTTTGGTATCAGGAATTGTTCATTCCTATTGAGAAGAATGAGAAGTACATAATGTTGAAGAAGAAAAACAAAGCAGTGTGTTTCATCTGGCAAATGGAGGAAAATTTGTATGTCTGTGTCAAGCGTCGCTTTTCTAAAAAGCCCTCTGTTTTCAGTCATTGGCAGAAATTCAAACTAAGCCTGTAGTTGCGTTTCCTTCTTAGTCCTTCTGTCATGTATTTCCCAGTGTGTTCCAGTGTTGACCTGTGTGGATCAGATCTCACGACCTCAGATCCTACTCAATGTCTGGGGTAAAGTTTCTATATTTGTGTTATATTAATGCCAAAATAAGCATTAAAAACCAAAAGGTTTCCAATAGAAACACCTTGATACTTGCATGATTTCAATTATTTTAAGAATTATTTTAAAATAAAGTATAATATATTTAACGGACCAGTGATTTACTTCTGCAAAATGAGGCACCTGTATGCACAGCTTAGCTGACGTATTAATGTTGCTTTTTTGGTCAACTTTAGGGTACAAGGCAATCATAGTTTATTATTTGATATAACAGGAAGACAGTTAGTTAACAGGGAACTTTTCTCTCTTCTGTTTCTCATTTTTTAAATAGCAAAATAGTTACCTATAGGCAGACGTGACTATATCCTAATGCTGTATAATTAAATAAGGTTTATTGTATTGAGATACTATTTAGTATAAACAAGAAATATGGATAATTTAAGATCTTGCTGAGTTCTTCATATTGATGGTATTGCCAGTGGTTGGTTTGTGCTGAGCATTTGGGATTCAATAGAAATATGTTGTAGATATGTTCTGCATTAATGCTGCTCACATTTAAACATGGTACATTATAGGATGAAGCTTGAATTATTGAAGAATCAGAACAACTAATCCTTGAAAAAATCAGAATGCTTTAAAAAGTTTAAGTGAATCCTTTGTCCTTCAGGTTATATGACCTGAAAATGAAAGTATGCAAAAGCATTTAATAAAACATAGGCTACCCTGTGTGGGAACTCTCTCAAGGCCTTTCAAGGAGTAAATGGTTACCATTACCAGAGGTAATGTACTTCATTTGCTTTCCTAAGAAGCTACTTTGATATTAAGAGAAACTCCTGAGCTAGGATTGGAATTTAAACTCCTGTAGGGTGTTTCATCTTGCACCCTAACAGATCAGCAGCTTGTTTGATTCTGAAGTCAACTGTATTACTGGGCATCAAACTGGCTTTAATAATTTCAGTGTTATTTCTCAATGTATTTTATTTTTCTGTAGTTTGTGCAGTTTCAGTAACCATTTTTGAGCTCTTATGTGCTGTGATTATAGAGTAGCTGATGATGGCTCTATTCAGAGTTTCTCATTAAAAATATCCTAGGTACATGAATAATATTTTTCTCTCTCACCAGTTATGCGTTTGAAGTGCAAACCTTTTTTTTGTGTAAATGTGAAACCATACATGTTTATTGGAACACAGCTGTAGTTGGCTTCCTCAAGTACTTGTCTGAGCTGTTCCCCAATGAAATAGTAGCACCTGGGTGCTTTGAGGGTGAAGAGATTCCCCCCCTCCCTTTCTTAATAATGTTTCTAGTGGAAATATATATATGTAAAGAAGGTGCTATATATATATGTGTGTATGTGTGTTTAAAAATAATTTATGCTTGTTTGTTGCATTATGTATTTCAGTGTGATTTTGGTAAATATTGTCTATCTGTTCACAAAGCAGAGCCATCTTTTGAATGCACTGGGGCCTTATTTAGTGTCCTGTGAGGTCAGCAGAGAGCTTCCACTTCATTTTGAAGGGATTTGGTTTTGGTGTACAACGAGGGAAAGCTGATCCACAGAACTGTTGAGCTGTGCTGGGGATAGAAAGAATAAAAACTGCACGCTGGAATGTGGCACTTTCCTCTAGGCACCTGGAGGAGATGATGACCCAGTGGAACTAGAAACAAATGTGTTCTTGCTGGTTTTGCAATTTCAATTTCCATGTTTTATGAGAAAATTGTAGGCTATTAAACTCATTGCTTCATCTGTGAGCCACTTTTCCTCTCCTTGCTTTAAAATGCTGCGATAGTTTCAACACTAAAGATACCTATTTGCCTCCTGTGTTTCTCAAGCACTAACATGTTTGATTTTTACATGATATGTTTCTTTTCAGTATCGCCCTCTGGTAGCCCAGATGATGGGAAGCGTAAGCTGGGGATATTTAAGAAACTGGTGCAGCGTAAATGTATCTACATATATCTGCCTGCTCTGAAATCTGGCTCGATTTAACAAAACAAAACCCCAAACAAACAACCAAACCAAACAAAAAAACCAGTAAAAAACGGAAACCAAATCCTTAGCAAAGATGTCCTCTTTGGTGTTTAACACTGGAGCCTTGTGTTGGCAAGTGAAGGTAAGAACACTAAACATAAGCATTACCTCTCCTCCCCTTGCTTATGGCTCTAAGAAATACCATGGCCTTATTGTATACGATTCTTACGTTTGGCATGGTAGATGAGTTTTATTTTGAGGCAGAAATATGGCTGCCTTTTTTTGTAGACATACACTGATTTCACTGGTTTGTAAGAGCAGAACAGAGATTGGAATTTCATCAGGTACCATACCCCCTTGGGTTTGTTTAATTGGACTTGCCAAATGCAAAGGACTGCCAGGTAAATGCATGAAGTATTAATTTTGGACACGGGCTTATTTGGTAAAAACAAACTATTTGACTCTCAGTTTACTGTGGTAAGTAATACATATGAAAACTTCATTTTAGTTGATGAGTGAGGGATTATATTCTGATCTGCCTCTTAGTTGATGCTTCTCAGTTACTTAGCTGACAATAGGTGTGCTCTGATATTTCATATTCTATGCTACTGCACAGATAATACTAGTATTTCCAGTTCTCACAAATTATGATGAGTACCCAGCTGCTGCTGATTGTTCTGCTTTCCTAGTCTTTTCATTGGAAAGCTCCTTTTGCTGCCAGAGTTCTCTGCACGCTTCCCCACAATCCTGCTACTCTCCAGTAGGGTTCTGTCACTGTTAGCTGGATTAGCAGGATAATTTGCTTTCCTCGCATGTTTTGCCTGTCCACAGGGACAGGCTGCTCAAAAGAAGAGAGACCTAACCTGGTGCATCAAGATGTGGAAACTAGTAACTATCATTAGTTCTGAATTCGAACCTCCTGGCGCTGAACTGCAGAGTCTTCAAGAATAGTGAGATTGATGTGTCTGTTGCTAGTTTAACATGCCAGCCTAGCCTGATTCCAAACTGAGTTGTAGCATTTTTATCCTTCGGTGGCAGATATGTGCAGTGATGGTGATCTTTGACCTGCGTAAAATAAGTCAAAGGAACAAAGAAAAACTTCAAAGAACATGAGTGTGCGCAGCACTTTCAGGCTTAGGAGAACAAAAAAGTGTTAGTGTGAGTATTGCAAAGATTTAATAATTTCATCTGTACCTTAGCACGTTTTTGTAATTAGGAATCAGGCAATTTGTTTAGATTTAGAACTAGACTTTTTCTATCATTTCTCTTTGTTTTTCTCAGAAATCAATCCTATGCTTTGATTTTTCTTTTAACGTTTTGCATATCACATACTCTGATTTATCACAAAAATGTATATATGTGTATATATGTGGTCAGTGGGACAGAATCTAGTTGGAGGTCTGTGACTAGTGGAGTCCCTCAGGGGTCAGTACTGGGACTGGTACTATTCAATATTTTCATCAACGACCTGGATGAGGGAACAGAGTGTGCCCTCAGCAAATTTGCTGCTGACACTAAACTGGGAGGAGTGGCTGACACACCAGAAGGCTGTGCTGCCATTCAGTGAGACCTAAACAGGCTGGCGAGTTGGGCAGGGATAAACTTGATGAAATTCAACAAGGGCAAGTGTAAAGTCTTGCATCTGGGGAAGAACAACCCCATGTACCAGTACAGGTTGGGGGCTGACCTGCTGGACCTTGGGGTCCTGGTAGACAGGAGGATGACCATGAGCCAGCTATGTGCCCTTGTAGCCAAGAAGGCCAATGGCATCCTGGGGTGTATTAGAAAGGGTGTAGTTAGTTGGTCAAGAGACCTTGTAGCCAAGAAGGCCAATGGCATCCTGGGGTGTATTAGAAAGGG